AATAACAAAGGAAGAACAGTTTTCCAGATTCCTTTTTTTTTTTTTTTTTTTTTGTTAATTTGCTATAGGGTGCCTGCACTTGCCAGAGGGACAGACAGAGAGAGGGAAAGGAAGAAAACACCCACTGGGGGCGATAGCCATGCTGCAATCTCTTCTCCTCCATTCTCCTCTTGGAGAAGCTGCTAGGTCCAGGACGCGAATGCATAGTTGGCCCTGCGTGATCCAGCTACCTTAACCACTATGCCCCTGGCTGGCCCTACACATTCCTTTGTTAGGTCATCTATTCCCCCGCCATGATGCAAAGGGATGTCTGGACTGACTTAGCAAAGCCCTTTCCACGAAGTGCACTGGGTGCTGCATAAGTTCTGGTCAAGGCAGTGGACATGCTCAAGATTCTCAATGTACATAAATTCACCTTTGCTCAAGAAGCTTTAATTAGGAAGCCATGATGGGTAGCATATATCAACTACATTTAGTCACAATGATTTATTTTAACAACTTTATTGAGCTATCATTTACATACCATAAAATTCATCTGTATTGAGTGATTAAATGATTTTTATTTTATTTATTTATTTTTTAAATTAAGAATCTTTCTTTTAGAACCATTTTATTTAACTTTGTTTATTTATTTTAATTTAACCAGAGAGGGACAGAGTGTGTGAAAGAGAGAGAGGCAAAGGAAGAAAGCAAGCCACCAGGTCCAGGACTCGAACCACAGTCAGCCATGTGGAAGTCCAGCACCCTTAACCACCACACCACCTACAAGCCCCTCAATGATTTGGGCAGCCATCACCACACCATACACATTCGAAACACTTCCATCACCCCAGAAAAAGCCCTCACCCCTGCTACAGCCTTATCCTTACCCTTAACCTCTGGCAGTCACTAGGCTCTCTTAGATACACCTTTTCTGGAGGTCTCATGTAAATTGAACCATATAATGTGTGGTCTTTTGCTCACTTTCACTTGTATAATGCTTTTGAGGTCATCTGTGTTGCAATGTGTATTAGTGCTTTCCTTTTTACAGAGGAATACTGTGCTTTTTTTTTTTTTTGGAGAGGTTTTTGCTATAGGGCGCATGCACTCGCCAGACAGAGAGAGATAGAGAGACAGAAAGCGAGAAATCACCCCCCAGGGGGGATGGCCATGCTGCAATCCCTTCTCCTCCACTCTCCTCTCGGGATCTTGGGCACGCACATACACGCGCCCGACATGAGTTTAAGCCACGGGTCTGGAACTCAAACTGTGGTCTACTACGTGGAGTCCAGTGACATAGCCATTACGCTAATTGCTGGTCCTGGAATACTATGCTATTTTATCAGAAGTCAAGTTCTACAATATTTACCCATTCATCAGTAGATGGACATTGAGTTGTTTGTACCGTTAGCTATCATGAATAGTGCAACAATGAACATTTGTGTACAAGTTTTTATGTAAACATATGTTTCATTTCTCTTGGGTATATACTTGTAGGTGGAATTGCTAGAACACATGGTAGACTTGTGCTTAAACTTTTAAAGAAATTTCCAAACTGTTTTCCAGAATGGCTGCACCATTTTACAATACCACCAGGAATGCATGAGGGTTCTGTTCTCCACATCCTCACCTGCACTTGGTGTTCTCTGTCTTTTTGTTAGTAGCCCTCCTGTGAGTGTGAAGTAGTTTCTCCTTATAGTTTTGATTTGCATTTTCCTAAAGACTCATGCTGTTGGTCAGCTTTTCATGTGCTTATTTGCCATCTGTGTATCTTCTTTGGAGAAATGTCTGCTCAAATATTTTTAAAAATTGGGTTGACATATGGGACCAGCAATTAGTGTAATGGCTATGTTGCTGGACTCCCATGTAGCCAACCACAGTTCAAGTCCCGGACCTGGTGGCTTAAACTCACGCCGGGCGCGCGTGCGTGTGTGCCCAAGATCCTGAGAGGAGAAAAGAGGGAAGGAATTGCATCATGGCCATTCCCCTGGGGGACGATTTCTCGCTTTCTGTCTCTCTGTCTCTCTCTGTCTTTGTGGTGAGCACACGCACTCTATAGCAAAAACCTCTCAGAAAAGAAAAAAAGAAAAAAGAAAGAAAGAAATTGGTTGACATCTTACTTTTGAATTTTTTTAAAGAGAAATTTTTACTATAGGGCATGTGCACTTGCTGGAGAGACAGAGAGACAGAAAGCAAGAAATCACCTCCCGGGGGGATGGCCACACTGTAATCCCTTCTCCTCCATTCTCCTCTTGGGATTTTGAGCACATATACATATGTTCCTGGCATGAGGTTTAAGCTGCCTGGTCCAGGACTCAAACTGCTGTCTACTATGTGGGAGTCCAGCTACGTAACCATTACACCATCTATTAGTCCCCTTACTTTCGAGTTTTTAGGAGTTCTTAGGGATGGCCCTGTAATACAGCAGTTAAGAGCTGTGCAAAAGGAACTGGATCCCACAGGATTGAACGCTGTTTGAATGTTGGCCCAGCAGCTAGAAAATACACTGGGCATGTGTGCATGCAAGGCCAAAATCCTGATGGAGTGACCACTCCCCAGTGAGGGATGCTTGCTCTCTCCCACCCCACACTCTGGCAAGCACACGTAACCTCTGGGGACCAGAAAAAAGAGTTCTTTATGTATTCTGGGTACCCACCCTGTGTTAGATATATCTTTGTGAATGTTTTCTTTCAGTCTGCGGCTTATCTGGTTTGTGTGTGTATGTGTGTGTGTCTAATTTTGCCAGAGAGTGAGTGCACTTGCCAGAGAGCGAGCGTGCACAAAAGAGAGAAAGCACCCCTGATGGGCGTGGTTGCACCACAACCCCTTCTCCTCCATTTCTCCCTCCTTTCAGGATTGTGGGCACACTCGTACATGTGCCTAAAATGTTCAGAGAGGTCTCCGACCTTGAGTGGGAGTCTTCCCACGTGGGTCAGCCTCACAGAGCATTGCGTTTTATTGGTGCACCACTATCTGGTCCCAGTTCTGCTGTTTTCTCCTGAGCATTCCTGAAGTTTTATATACATACGTATGTGTGTGTAAATAAATAAATATATATATTTATACACACACAAACATGCATACACATACATGCATACACACATACATATATACATATACACACGTATATAACTTACATATTTGTATATGTCCATCATATTTGGACAATATGATATATATATCTCATATATATATATATATATCTCATATATATATATATGACTTTATATATACACACACAATAGGATTATATATACACAATATGATTGTATGTATTTATATAAAATCATACTATCCAAAATAAATATAAACTTTTTCTTTCAGTCTGAATTTGTGTTTTCTTTTTCCTTTCAGTTGCACTAAACCACCAAAAGTCAATGAGGGTACCAGTTGTTCTAGATACTAAGTTGTCAGCACTTAGTATTTTCTGTCTTTTTGACATAGCCTTCCTGTGAGTGTAAAGTAGTACCTTACTGTGGTTGCAATTTGCATTTCTCTAAAGGCTAATATATCAAACATCTTTTCACGTGCTTATTAGTCATTTGTATGTCTCTTTGGTGAAATGTCTATTTAAATCTTTTGCCCATTTAAAAAATTAGGTTACTTATCTTTTTGTTATGAATTATTAAGAATTCCTTAAATATAAATCCATTGTCAGATATCTGACTTGCAAATATTTTGTCCTAAACTATAGGCATCTGGCAGTTCCTTGATGGTGTCCTTTGAAACACAAAACTTTCAGATTTTGATGAAACCCAATTTATATTCCTGTGTCTTATGCTTTTGGTGCCATAATCTAAGAAGACTTTGCCTAAGCCAGAATCATAAAGATTTACCCTTATGTTTTCTTCTAAAAATTTTATGTAAGTCTCACATTAGAAATATAACTTATTTGGTGGAACCAGCAGTTAGCGTAATGACTATGTTGCTGGACTTCCATGTAGTCGACTGCAATTTGAGTCCCGTACCCGGTGGCTTAAACTCACGCTGGGCGCATGTGCGTGCGTGCCCACGATCCTGAGAGGAGAATGCAGC